GTTTCCATTTGTTTGCTTAGGTAACTTGTTGAACTTCTTTCTTTTCTTTTTTTTTTCATTTTTTGAGGTGGAGTCTTGCTCCGTTGCCCAGGCTGGAGTGCAGTTGCGCAATCTCGGCTCACTGCAACCTTCACCTCCTGGGTTCAAGTGATTCTCCTGCCTCACCCTCCTGAGTACCTGGGATTACAGGCGTGCACCACCATACCCAGGGTTTCACCATGTTGGTCAGGCTGGTCTCGAACTCCTGACCTTGTGATCCGCCCACCTCACTCTCCCAAAGTGCTGGGATTACAGGCATGAGCCACTGCGCCCGGCCAACTTGTTGGATTTCTATCACCTGCAACCTAAAGTACCCCGAACAAAAAAGATGAGAGCTGTGGTTCTTACAGTATGGGGATGTTTGAAGTCAAAACTATTTTTCTCACAATGCCAGGATGACATGTACCTTCTTCTCTGTGTTGAGCATTGCTCTCATGGGTGCAAAGTCAGTGATGAGTTCAGCAATCTGTGCCCAAGAGAGCCACACCATGGTACACACTGTACCAGCATTCATTGTGTTTTTCATACACCTGCACTGAAGCAACAGAAACAAAAATAAAACCCCGCTTCTCTTAAGAATGTCTTTAATGAAGCCGTAAAAATGACTGGTTTTATTAAATTTCAACCTTTGAGTAGACTTTTTTTTTTAACATTCTCTGTGACAAATTGGGAAGTACACAGGAAGCATTTCTGCTGAATAGCTGAGTATGACCAGTTATCTGGAGGAAAATATTTTGGTTCTCCCAAGATCAAAGTTCCTCCCCTACAATGCAACCCACTGAGAATGCAGGTATCATCCCTCTTTAAGTCCCCTGGTGGGGACTGGTGTTCAGGAGCCTTTGCAAAGATGCAGACACTGTGGCTCCTGTTACCGCTGTTGCTCCTGAGTAATAGGCTGCGTTTTGTCTCTGAGTCGGTAATCTCACGTCTTCTGTTAACACCCATGAATCTGGGACAGGCTAATTTCTTAGCTTGCAAGGAGGGTACACATCTCAGACTCTTGGCAGTTCTTTCCAAAGGCCAGAAGTAAAGTACATTTGATCATCAGATAAAAATTAGGTATTATTAATAGTGCACAGCAGGCATTGGCAAACTCCAGGCTATGAGCCAGATTCAGTCTGCTGCCTGTTTTTCTATGTTCCATGAACTAAGAATGGTTTTTACACTGTAATATGGTTGTTGTACAAGTACCTATATAACATCTTCAATGTTGACTCTTGGTCTACAAAACCTAAAGGATTTACTATCTGGCCTTTTCCAGAGAAAACTTGCTGCCCGTGTCTATAGAGCCTTATCTGTGTTCCACATCCCAGCAGTTTGAATTGTCCAGGTCTTCCGTGGCTCTGCTGTATCCCTGCACGGTTTGTTAACGTGCCCCTGGGTTGGGAGCACATCACAAAGCCCAGACGGATAACAGTCTGTGCAGGTCTGTGACGATGGCGACCATCTGTCTTTCCAAACATCTAAACAGATTCTTCCCAAGTGTCTTACATTGGGGTGATAAATTCTGGTCATGAAACATATTTTTGGGCTACTGCTGGCTATTCTTCTGGAAGAGATAGTTCAAGTTCCAAAGATTTCCCTTCAAAGGAGGAATCCCCTGGGCTAGCAATGTCCGTATGTAGTAATGAGTGCTGTTCTCATCTGATGCTGCCACTTGAACCCCTGCCAGCAGCAAGTGCTGGGCTGCCTTGGAGATTCCTCAGAGCCTCTTGATCATCTTGCTTTTCTAAAGTATGTTTTTTATGGCGTAAAACTGTTTCCCCCATACCTAATAGGAAAAAAGGAACATCGACTGAAGACAGAGGCTAACAAACGGTAGATACACAATGGTGTGGGGCTGCTGCAGCCTGGGGGTGGCAGGGGAACTGGAAGGACTCTTCCAATTTCAAGATGAAGTTTATTCTACAATGGGATGAAACCCGTATCATTACTTCTTGTACTTGATTTTAGCAGTTATGTGTACAGACTGTTGGACTGGGCTCTCTGAGCTCAAATACCAGCTCTGCTACTTCTGGTTGTGTGACCATAAGTTACTTAACCTGTTTGTGTCCTAGTTGTCTCATTTGTTTTTAAATGATATGGGGTCTTGCTACATTGCCCAGACTGGTCTCGAACTCCTGGGCTCAAGCAGTCCTCCTGCCTCAGCCCACGTCTCATTTTTAAAATGTGAATAATAAGTTAATAAGTCATACCAACTTCATAGTGTAATCATGAGGAGTAAAAAGAATAATATGCATAAAATCTTTAAAATGTTACCCAGCACACACTGCTATTATTATTGTCACAATTACTATTTTCTTTTTGTTTTAATACAAATATTTTTTGTAGAGATGGGGGCTTGCTGTGTTGCCCAGGCTGGTCTGGAACTCCTGGCCTCAAGTGATCCTCCCACCTTGGCCTCCCAAAGTGTTGGGATTACAGGCATGAGCCACTGCACCCAGCTTACTATTACTATTTTCTAGGGAATGAGAAGCATGAGATAGGCGTGCAATTACAGTAAGGCAGTAAAGACTATTTGGAGTGTTCCTCATCCTATCCCTTCATTTTCATTCAATAAACTTTTAAAAAAATGTCTACTATGTACCAAGCACTGAAGGACTAATACGACACATTCTCTGACCTCAAGGTATATGCGGCACTCAACAATGCAGACAAATCCATTCATTCAGCTAGTACCAAACAACACATGGGGTGGTCAGTCCTATGGTGAAAACACATTAAGTCAACATGTCCTGACAAACTCTAACCTAGCACTATGAAAGTGTTTAAAAGGGAGAGCTCATCTGGTTGTCTAGGGAGTGGTGAGAGAAGGCTTCTCTAAGAAAGGGATATTTAAGCTGAAATTAGAATTTTGTACAGGAGAAAATCACTTGGAGGAAGGAAGAGCGTTTTCGGTGGAAAAAGTGAATGGGTGAAGGGCCCAAAGGAAGGAGGAGCATACGACTCAAATACACTGAAAGGCCAAAGTAGCTGGAGGGCAGAGAACAAGACAGGAGGGCGATGGGCTGGGAGGTGGTCAGGCCCAGGCTATAGAAAGGAGGGTTGAAGCAGAAAGGGGCTTGACTTGATTCCATGGTTTTTTTTGTTTGTTTTTGGTTTTTTTTGAGACAGAGTCTTGCTCTGTCACCCAGGCTGGAGTACAGTGGTACAATCTCAACTCACTGCAACTTCAGACTGCCAGGCTCAAGCAATCCTCCTGTCAGCCTGCAGAGTAGCTGGAACTAGAGGTGCAAACCACCACAGCCAGCTAATTTGTGCATTTTTAGTAGAGACGGGGTTTCACCATGTTGCCTCGGTTGGTGAAGCGATCTACCCTCTTTGGGCTCCCGAAGCGCTGGAATTACAGGCGTGAGCCACTGTGCCTGGCATCTGGCTCCTATTTTTAAAGGGTCACTCTGGGTGCTGTGCATAGAATGGATTGCACTGGGGCAAAAATAGAAGCGGTGGGGGGGGGGGTGGCAATTTCAGCAGTCAATTCCATCAGGCAAGAAAAGATGGTGGAAAGAATTGGGCTGGAGAGAAGTGAACGGATCTGCAGTGTATTTTGAATGTCAAAGCAACATGACTTGCCGATACATTGGATTGGATCTTGAGGGTGAGGGAAAGCGAAACTGAGAGTACACCTAGATTTTTTTATTAAGCCACCGGGCAGTCAGTGCTGCCGTTCACTGAGACGGGAAAGGCTAGGGAGAAGCATGTTTGGGGGTGTGTGTGGGGAATCAGTTGTTTTGGCCATGTTAGGTTTGACATACTTATCAGCCATGTATGTGACACTACCAGCTGGATACTCAAGCCTGGGGTTCTGGAATGAGGTCCAGGATGGAGATGTGGCTGTAGGAGCCCGCAGCACAACATGGAAAGTCGCCTGGAGTGAGTGGGTAGGGACAGAACGTGGAGAGTCCGGAATGCTCCACCAGCCAGTGGTTAGAGGAGCAGGAGCTACGAGGGGCCTGAGAGGGGGCAGCCAGGATGCCGTCATGAAGGAAAATGAGAAAATATTTCAAGAAGGGCATGGGCAACTGTGGTGAAAGTTACTGGTAGGAACAGAAGTGCCGTGATTGGATCTGGCAATATGGCAGTCATTAGCAGTTGTCCAGTGGTGAGAAGAGAAGCCTCATCGCGGTGGGTTAAGGAGAAAATGCGAGGTGCGAGATTGCCATTAGACTCTTGCATGAAGCTGTCATGAGTGCCGCAGAAAAATGGGCAATGACGTGTAAGATGCGGTCTCGAAGGATGAGTAGAAGCTGGTCAAATGAAGAGGTGGAGAGGTAGGCTCTCTAATGAGGATGTATTTGCAAAGTCATTAGAGCAAGGGAATAGAAATGAAAGAAGTGTGTATTTTCCGTGCAATATTTCTAGAAGTTCAAGAGTCATTTGCATGCTTTGGGGTTGTGCTCTTACAGCAGTCTCATTTAAATCCTGTATGCTTTATTGTTATTTGCTAAAGACACTGAGGGAATGGCTGAGATAATCGGATCTTTTTGAGTTGGTTGGTTTGAAAAGACATCTAGGATGGTCAAGCGGCTGGACTTTATTAGCTACACTGAAAAATTCAGAACGGGATAGGGGAAGCTTGTTTTTATTCAAAGACTAGCACATTACAGTATATGGGTAAGGGAGAAACGATGAAAAGAGGAAACGAGATGAAGTTTAAAAAGTACAAGATAGCATTGCAGAATGCCGATACTGCAAAAGTCTGGAGAGCGGGGAGGTGGAGGACAATGTCTCACCCCATACCTGGGATCCCAGCTGTCAAGTCTCAACTGTACCCATATGGGTTGCATGAGCTTAACAAAATCCTTATTATTATTATTTGCATTTGCTTTCCTTGCTCTAAACACGTTTAACGTCGTTTGCCTCACAAGATTGCTCTGAAGGTGCAGGGAGACGGCAACGGCATACACAAGGCACGTGCGATGCCTACGGTGAGCTTCACCCAGCCCCCGGCGCGTCTGGAGAACTGCTGACCCCGGGCCACGGGCCTCAGGCAAGTCCGAGGGTGCCCAGGGCAGGGCCGGGGCTTGAATGCCTTTGCCTCCGAAAAGCGGAGCCGTGGGGCCTGCCCCGCGCCGGTCCTGCCTCCGCCCCGCCGCCCAATCCCGGCTTCTCGGCGCTTCTACGTCTCCCTATAAAAGAAAGCGCGGCCGCCGGGCTCCGAGCGCGGCCCTACGGTTCGAACACAGCTCCCGCTCTGCGCGTCATGGTGCAGGCCTGGTACATGGACGACGCCCCGGGCGACCCGCGGCAACCCCACCGCCCCGACCCCGACCGCCCGGTGGGCCTGGAACAGCTCCGGCGGCTGGGGGTGCTCTACTGGAAGGTACGCGGCCCGAAAGCTCGCAGAGCGTGCGGGCGACGCCGACCCCCGAGCGAAGCGCACAGCCCAGCCTCCTCCGGGTGCCGGGTAGCGGCCCGGGAGCCGCCGTATGCTGCGCATGCTCAGCAGCGGGAAAGGGGGTCCGTGGCCGCTCCCGGTGCCTGGGGCGGGCTGCTCTCGCTCAGCAGTGCGGCTGGACGGTCAGGGCCTCCTGCGCGGCGCCTGCGTGTGCTGCGCATGCTCAGCAGTCGCATTGGGAGATCGGCGGTCCGCTCCCAGCGCCTGGGGTGTGCTGCGCATGCTCAACAGCGGAGTTTAAGGGGTCGAAGGTCGGCTTCCGGCGCCTGGGGTGTGCTGCGCATGCTCAGCAGCAGGGCTAGTGGGGGTCGGCGGTCCGTTTCTGCGGTCTGGGGTATGCTGCGCATGCTCAGCAGCGGGGCTAGCGGGGGTCGGCGGTCCGTTTCTGTGGCTTGGGGTGTGCTGCGCATGCTCAGCAGCAGAGTTGGCGAGTGAGGGGCTTCGCACCCGGGACTCGCTGCGCACGCGCAGCCCCGGGATTGGCAGCGGCCTAAAGGGTCGGCCGGCAGGGCTGCGAGCTCGTGGGATGCTTGGCCTTGTCCAACGCCCAGCGCCCGTCTGGCTGCCCCCGGTCAAAGGCCCAGGGGTTTCTCTTATATCGGAGGAAGGGGGACTCCGCATGGAAGTGTCCTGGGGGAGGGACCAGGCACCTCCAGATCCAGGCGGGGTCCTGCTGCGGTCTGTCGAGGGTCCTGGGGGGTCGCTATCGGTGGTGGGGTGGGGGCGTCTCCAGCAGGCGGTGGAGCTGGCTTGGGTACCGGCCGGGCCCGGTGTCAGCCCTGCCTCTGTAACGCGCGCTTTGCAAGGCGCTGCAAGGCTTTGCACAGGTGTCCCATTGCTTGCACAGCACCAGTCCTGATACGCTCACCTTGTTTATTTGCAAGTGGTTTTGCGGTAACAAAGGTTTACTGCAGAGGAGAGGGCCAGGGGAGGCCTCAGGGATAGGCTGAGGGGTCACTGGATCTAATGTGCATTCTTGTGATTTAAATAAAATACACAGGATTACCCGGGACCATTGATTGATTTTACAATTTGTACAGTTAACACAATTATCACACTTTTTCCCTTGGGAAAGGATTATAGAATAGAATATTCCAGCGTAATATATTTGGAGATCATCTTGTTGTATCCCAAATAACAGAAGAGGGAAGTGACAATTGGCATACCAGTGCCAAACAGGGCATGCATGTTAATGTTTACATAGTATTTGCCCTTTCCGAGGAAAAGATGTAACACTTACCTTGCTGGAGGGTACTATCTTCAAAGCAATCAAGTGGTTTATAGTTTTCCATTAATGAGAGGAGAATACATTTTGGCGTATAATGTCTAATTTATCCACAATCCAAAGAACCAGAGGGTTCACATTAATACACCTGGGGAGTTTCATTGTGCATTTGAGGGTTTTAAGAACAACAATGAGCTTACAGGTTAACTTCTAAATGTATTCAAAGAATAAAAAAAGATTTCATAGGCATCTTTTAGATTATTACATGGGCTCAAAACAGTTTTTCCTACTGTCTAGTTCTGCTCTGAGTCAAAGGGCTATCAAAATTAAATCATGTTTACTCTGTGGTTTTAATGTCCTGTGTATTTTTGTATTCTTTCTTTTTTTTTTTTTGAGACAGAGTTTCGCTCTTTTTGCCCACGCTCTAGTGCAGTGGCGTGATCATGGCTCATGGCAACCTCCTCTTCCCGGTTTCAAGCCATTCTCATGTTTCAGCCTCCCGAGTGGCTGGAATTACATGGCACATGCCACCATGCCCGGCTAATTTTGTATCTTTAGTAGAGACAGAGTTTCTCCATGTTGGTCAGGCTGGTCTTGAACTCCTGACCTCAGGTGATCTGACGTCCTTGGCTTTCCGAAGTGCTGGGATTAGAGACGCGCGCCACCGCACCTGGCCTGTGTGCTTTCTTAATATCCATTCTGGATCAGTGATGTCGGAAGACAAAATTACAACAAATTTAGTTAAAGATCTAATTGACTTTTATTCTTGATTCGTGAATAGGGCAGCCTCCATTCTACAAAATAGAATAAGAGCTCCACAGGGTAATAGCACAACAGTGGGTTTTGTGTGGTGGCAACAAAGAAACATAACAATAGGGAAAACAGCTGATTGGTTAACATCAAGTTACGTTAGGTTACTTTTTTCTAAGAGTTAAAGCAAAAGCGACTTCCTTATTCTGATTCAGGAAGACAGGAATCTTCTGATCTCAGGAAAAGCTGGTCTGAGATTCACCTGCTTCTTTAAAGTTTTAGTTTGATCATGTGGCATATGGCATGAGTGGCTCCATTTTGGTTTGGTCTCCTCGTGGGGCCTAGTGCAGTGGCTTAGTCCAAAACAATGACCTCTGCTGGGCCAGACATGGTGGCTTCTGTCATCCCAGCACTTTGGGAGGCCGAGGCGGGCAGATTGCCTGAAGCTGGAAGTTTGAGACCTCATCTGTAGAAAAACCCAAAAAACAAAAAAACCACACACACACCCCATATAAACATTATATATATATATAACATCTCCCATAATTTTTAACAGAGGTAACACAAATGGACATGTTTGTGTATCTGTTACTAATCTGTTATTCGTGACACAGAGTTCTAAAAAGCCTTTTCACATACATACAATTGGAAGATTATTTTAGCTTGAATAAACTAAATCCCTTTAGAATAAACTAAATACCTGCTGCTATAACAAAATGACAAAAATAGCTTAAACTGGGCAATTTATAAACAACAGCAATTTATTTCTTACAGTTCTAGAGGCTGAGAAGTCCATGATTAAGGTGCCAGCAGATTCAGTGTCTGATGATGATCCTGTCCTCATAGATAGCCATTTCCTTGCTCTGTCCTCATGTGGTGGAGGGGGCAAACTGCTCCCTTACCTCTCTCCCTCTCTCTCTCTTTTTTTTCTTTTTCTTTTCTTTTTTCTTTTTTTTTTTTGAGATGGAACCTCACTTTGTCATCCAGGCTGGTGGCGCAATCTTGGCCCACTGCAACCTCTGCCTCCGGGGTTCCAGTGATTCTCCTGCCTCAGCCTCCCGAGTAGCTGGGATCACAGGCATGTACCACCATGCCTGGCTAATTTTTGTATTTTTAGTAGAGATGGGGTTTCACCATGTTGGACAGGCTGGTCTTGAACCTCTGACCTCAGGTGATCTGCCCGCCTTGGCCTCCCAAAGTGCTGGGATTATAGGTGTGAGCTGCAGCGCCCAGCTCCATCTCTCTTATAAGGCCACTAATCCTATAAATGAGGGCTTGACTTAATCACATCCTAAAGGTCCCACCCCTTAATACTGTCACATTTGTGTTAAGTTCCCACATAAGAATTTGGGGTGGGCACATTCAGACCATAGCAAATAGTACTGTGCATATCATGCAGTGGATGTGCTAAGTTTTAGAGTCATCTTTGTGGAAAATAACGTATCTATGACTAGTACTTTAATACATTCTAGAGTATTGGGGGAACCCGCCCCCAATATTTCAACATAGGTTCTATTTTCCATAAGTGTCAGCCAGCTGAGAAATAAAGAGAGACAGTATAAAGAGAGGAATTTTACAGCTGGGCCACCGAGGATGACATCACATATCGGTAGGACCGTGATGCCCACCTGAGTCTCAGACAGCAAGTTTTTATTATGGGTTTCAAAAGTGGAGGGGGTGTAACAACAGGGAGTAGGTACAAATATCACATGCTTCAAAGGGCAAAATGTAGAACTGCTAATAAGAGTTTAACAAAGATCACATGCTTCTGAGGGAACAGGACAAAGGGCAAAAGCAGAACTACTGATAAGGGTCCAACAAAGATCACAAGGCAAAGGGCAAAAGCAGAACTACTTTTTTTTTTTGAGACGGAGTTTCACTCTTTGTTGCCCAGGCTGGAGTACAGTGGTGCGATCTCGGCTCACTGCAACCTCCGCCTCCTGGGTTCAAGTGATTCTCCTGTCTCAGCCTCCCGAGTAGCTGGGATTACAGGCACCTGCCACCATACCTGGCTAATTTTTGCATTTTTAGTAGAGAGGGGTTTCACCATGTTGGCCAGGCTGGTCTTGAACTCCTGACTTCAGGTGATCCACTGGCCTCGGCCTCCCAAAGTGCTGAGATTACAAGCATGAGCCACCACGCCTGACCTAAAAGCAGAACTACTGATAAGGGTCCAACAAAGATCACAAGGCAAAGGGCAAAAACAGAACCACTGATAAGAGTCTATGTTCAGCCGTGCACGTATTGTCTTGATAAACATCTTAAATAACAGAAAACGGTTCGAGAGCAGAGAACCGGTGTGACCACAGATTTACCAGGGCAGAGTTTTTCCCCACCCTAGTAAGCCTGAGGGTACTGCAGGAGACCAGGGCATAGCTCAGTCCTTACCTCAACTGCATAAGACAGACATTCCCAGAGTGGCCATTTATAGACCTCCCCCAAGGAATGCATTCCTTCCCCAGGGTATTAATATTAATATTCCTTGCTAGGAAAAGAGTTTAGTGATATCTTCCTTACTTGCACATCCATTTATTGGCTCTCTGCAAGGAGAAAAATATGGCTCTTTTTGCCCGACCCCTCGGGAGGCAGTCAGACCTTATGATTGTCTTCTCCTGTTCCCTAAAAATCGCTGTTATTCTGTTCTTTTTCAAGATGCACTGATTTCATATTGTTCAAACACACATGTTTTACAATCAATTTGTACAGTTAACACAATTATCATAGTGGTCCTGAGGTGACGTACATCCTCAGCTTATGAAGATCCAGAATTAGATTAAGAGGTTAAAGTAAAGACAGGCATAAGAAATTATAAAAGTATTATTTGAGAATGGATAAATGTCCATGAAATCTTCACAATTTATGTTTCTCTGCCGCGGCTCCAGCTGGTCCCTCCATTTGGGGTCCCTGACTTGCGGCAACACTGGAGTTTGTTGTTCAGTTAAGTAGTGATGATATAATGTGCAGTTTATTGCAAAACATAAAGTGTGCTAAATTCACTGCCAGTAGTTTTAAGAGTTCAGATTAATTCTGTCTGGAGCTTCATCAGGGAAGTGCTTCGTAAGGAAGGAACAGTAAAATTGAACCTTAATAGCGATAGAACTGTAATAAATGAAAATGTTGAATGGGAATTTTAGGCATAGAAAACTCATGAGCAAGGTTGTGGGGATGTTAAATATCAAATATTTTTAAGATAGTCAATCCTATTTGGTTTAGAATGTAGAGTTCTTTAAAAAGTAGGAGACAAGGAACAGATAGATGTAGAAAAGCCAGATGATAGAAGGTTAATTAACTCAGCCTAATTAACTTGAGTTTTATTTGCAAGCTGTGAGAGCATACAATGTTTTGGCTCATGGAAACAAACTGACCAAAGAAATGGCATTGAGGATCAATGAGACTCATGAGTGGGATGGTGGCAGAGAAACAGGGCACAGTGAGGGACCTGTGGATAGGTCAGACAGGCTTGAGTTGGTGGGACCATCATCTCAAAATGGGAAAAAGGATTCCCCGGGATGGACTGTTGCAGAGAAGGGAGGCAGAAATCAAACAGAAATCCGTTGTATGTATAGCTGGTGTATTGGAGAATGGAAAATCCATTAAATGGGTAGAAGAAATGAAGAGAATTAGTTGATGGTTAAAAAAATAACAAATGATAAATTTGGAGTATAAAATCATATTGGAGATCCAGAAAGGGAATGTTTCTGCATCTCCTTGTTAATCTGAGCTCTTGTTTGTGGTGGGTTAACTCTTTTAGCTGGATGCTGACAAATATGAGAATGATCCAGAATTAGAAAAGATCCGAAGAGAGAGGAACTACTCCTGGATGGACATCATAACCATATGCAAAGATAAACTACCAAATTATGAAGAAAAGGTAAGGGAGCCCTGGATTTCCAGGACAAGCACTATCACTACTAATGCAATATTTTCTTTCTTTTTTCTTTTCATGTCTGTATGAGGCCATTCTTGCATTGCTATAAAGAAATACCTGAAACTGTGTAATTTATAAGAAAAGAGGTTTAATTGGCCCACAGTTCTGCAGGCTCTACAGGAAGCATCTGTTTCCTGGCACCGCCATCTGCTTCTGGGGAGGCTTCAGGAAGCTTACAGTCATGGCAGAAGGCAAAGTAGGAGCAGGCATCTCACATAACAGGAGTGGGAATGAAAGAGAGTGCAAGGTGTCACACCATTTTAAATGACCAGATCTCACAGGAAATTACTCACTGTAGCAAGGATAGCACCAAGAAGATAGTGCTAAGCCATTCATGAGAAATCCATCCTCATGATCCACTCACCTCCCACCAGGTCCCACTTTCAATACTGGGGATTACATTTCAATATGAAATTTGGGTACAGACACAAATCTAAACTGTATTATTCTGCCCCTGGCCCCTCCCAAATCTCATGCCCTTCTTGAATTTCAAAATACAATCATCTCTTCCCAATAGTCCCCCAAAGTCTTAACTTGTCCCAAGTTCAAGTCCAAAGTCTCATCTGATGCTCATCTCCTTTTACCTGTGAGCCTGTAAAATCAAAACAAGTTAGTTACTCCCAAGATACAAAGGGGGTAAAGGCATTAGGTAAATATTCTCATTCTAAAAGGGTGAAATTGGTCAAAAGAAAGGAGCTACAGGACCCATGAAAGTTCAAAATTCAGCAGGGCAGCCACTAAATCTTAAAGCTCCAAAATGATACCCTTTGACTCCATGTCCCACATCTAGGGCACACTGGTGCAAGGAGTGGGCTCCCAAGGCCTTAGGCAGCTGTGCCCCTGTGGCTTTGCAGGGGCTTCTGAGGCTGCTGTCATGGGCTGGCTTTGAGTGTCTATAGCTTTTGCAGGTGCAGGGTGCAAGCTGCCAGTGAATCTATCATTCTTGGGTCTGCAGGATGGTGGTTCTCTTCCCACAGCGCCTACGCAGTACTCCAGTGGGGACTTTGTGTGGGGACTTCAACCCCACATTTCCCCTCTGCACTGTCCTAGTAGAGGTTCTGCATGAGGGCTTCTACCCTGCAACAGACTTCTGTCTAGACACCCAGGCTTTTCCATACATTCTCTGAAATCTAGTTGGAGAATCCCAAGCCTCAGCCCTTGCACTCTGTGCACTCACAGGCTTAGTAACACATGGAAGCCACAAAGGCTCATGGCTTGTGCCCTCTGGAGCTGTGGCCCGAGCTGTACCTGGGCCCTTTTGATCTGAGGCTAGAACCGTAGCAGAACCCAAGCACTTGGGATGCAGGGAGCAGTGTCCTGAGGCTCTGCAGGGCAAAGGGGCTCTGGGCCTGGCCCATGAAACCATTCTCTCCTTTTAGACCTCTTGCCCTGTGATGGGAGGGGCTGCCTGAAGGTCACTGAAATGCATTTGAGGTTTTTTTCCCCATTGCCTTGGCTATCTTTGAAGTTATGCAGATTTCTCTAGGAAGAGGTCTCTGAAATGCCTTTGAGGTTTTTTCCCCATTGTCTTGGCTATCAGCCCTTGGCTTCTTTGTAGTTATGTAAATTTCTCAAGGAAGTGGTTGCTCTACAAATCTGCTTGAAATCCTCTCTCAAAAACTTTTTATTTCTTTGCCATGTGGCCAAGTTGCAAATTTTCCAAACTTTTATGCTCTGCTTCCCTTTTAAATGTAAGTTCCAGCTTCAGGTCATTCCTTTGCTCTTGCATCTGCGCACAGGCTGTTAGAAGCAGGCAGGAAACATCTTGAACACTTTGGTGCTTAAAAATTTCTTCTACCATATACCCTAGGTCATCACTCTCAAATTCAAACTTCCACAGATCCCTAGGGCATGAACAGAATGCAGACAAGTTCTTTGCTGAGGCAAACATGTATGATGTTTGCTCTAATTCCCGATATGTTCCTCATTTCCATCTGAGACCTCATTGGCCTGGACTTTATTGTGTGTATGACTATCAGCATTTTGGTCACAATCAAATAACCAGTCTCCAAAAAGTTCCAGACTTTCCCTCATCTTTTCTCTCTCCTTCTGAACCTTCTACACACTTCTAATCTCTGCTTGTTACTCAATTCCAAAGCTGCTTCTATATTTTCAGGTATCTTTATAGCAATGCCCCACTCCTTCTACTTCTAGAGAGGCCTCAGGAAGCTTATAGTCATGGCAGAAGGCAAAGTGGGAGCAGGTATCTCACATAACAGGAGTGGGAACAAGAGAGAGAATGAGGTGCCACCCAGTTTTAAATAGCCAGATCTTGCAAGAAGTCACTCACTGTGGTGAAGCCAGCACCAAGGGAGTGGTGTAAACCATTCATGAGAAATCCATCGCCGTGGTCCAGTCACCTCCCCACCAGGTCCCATCTCCAACATTGAGGATCACTATTTAACATGAGATTTGGGTGGAGACACATTGCCAAACTATATCAGTGTCTTAGTTTGAATTTCATATCAGAGTCATGCAGATCTCATAAAATGAGCTGGGAAGTAGTCCCTCCTGTTCAATTTTTTGGAAGAGTATTTGTAGATAGTATTATTCTTTCCTTATGTTCGGAGATTCACCAGTGAAGCCATCTTGGCTTGTAGTTTTCTTTGTGGGAAGGTTTTTAACTGTGAGTTCAATTTCTTTACTAGACAGTAGGGCTATTCAGTTAACCCATTTTTTTCTTGAATGAGCATTATTTGTTTGTTTCTCTCAAAGCAGTTGTCCATTTCATTTGAGTTGTCAGATTTATTGCCGTAAAATTATTTGGAATATTTTCTATTATCCTTTTAATATCTGTAGAGTATGTAGTGCTGTCTTCTCTCATTCCTGATACTGATAATTTGTGTCTTCTCTCTCTTTCGTGAGTCTGGATAGAGACTTATCAATTATATTGATCCTCTCAAAAAACTTTAGGTTTCATTGATTTTTCTCTTTTTCTATTTTTTATTTCATTGGATTCTGCTCTGACCTTTATAATTTGTCTTCTTTTACATGTTTTAATTTGCTCCTTTTTCTAAGTTCCCTAGGTGGAAGCTGAAGTCACTGATTTGAGTTCTTTCATCATCATTATTTTTATTATTATTTTAGAAACAGACATTATTAATATTATTAATTTGCTCTGCCACCCAGGTTAAAGTGCAGTGGTGCAATCATAGCTCACTGCAGTCTCGAATGCCTGGGCTCCAGCAGTCCTCCCACTTCAGCCTCCTGAGTAGCTAGGACTACAGGTATGTGCCACCATGCCTGGCTAATATATATATGTATTTTTTTGAGACAGAGTTCTGCTCTTGTTGCTCAGGCTGGAGTGCAATGGTGCGATCTCAGCTCTCTGCAACCTCCGCCTCCTGGGTTCAAGTGATTCTCCTGCCTCAGCCTCCCGAGTAGCTGGGATTACAGGCATGCGCCACCACATCCAGCTAATTTTGTATTTTTAGTAGATATGGGGTTTCTCCATGTTGGTCAGGCTGGTCTCAAACTCCCGACCTCAGGTGATCTGCCCGTCTTGGCCTCCCAAAGTGCTGGGATTACAGGCATGAGCCACCACGCCTGGCCTGGCTAATTTTCTTAAAAAAAGTTTTTGTAGAGATGGAATCTCACCAGGTTGTTCAGGTTGGTCTTGAACTCCAGGTCTCAAGTGATCCTCCCACGTTGGCCTTGCAGAGTGTTGTTTTTCTTTCCTTAGTACGGGGGTTTAGTGTTGTAAATTTCCCCCAGAGTACTGTTTTAGTGGCATCACACAAATTTTGATAATTTTGATATATTTTTTATTTTCATTTAATTTTAAATACATTCTAATTAATTTACTTTTCAATTTTATCTTTGACTTGTGGGGATGTTTTGTTTTGTTTTTAGATATTTGTTAGTTTCCAATTAATTGGGAATTTTTCTAGATTTTTAAATTTGTTTCTAATTTATTTCCGGTGTAGTCAGAGAATAAACTTTGTATAATTTGAGTCCTTGTAAATATATTGAGACTTGTTTTATGGTCCAGAATGTTATCTGTCTTGGTGAATGTTTCTTGTGAGCTTGAGAAGAATGGATATTCTATTGTTGTAGAATGAAGTAATCTATGAATGCCAATAAGAACAGTTGATTGATGGTATTATTCAGATCAACTATATCTTTACTGATTTTCTGCTTGTTGGATGTCAATTACTGTTAGTATTGAAATTTCCAACTATAATAGTGGATTTGTCTATCTTTCTTTGCAATTCTGTCAGTGTTAGCCTCACATATTTTGATGCTCAGCTGTTAGATACATATGTGATAAAGATTGTTATGTTCCCTTGGAAGATTGACCCTTTTATTATTACATAATGTCCCCCTTTATCTCTGATGATTTTCCTGTTTTTAAAATTCAGATAGCTCCCTCAGCTTCTTCCCCTCCCTCCCTCTCCTTCCTTCCTTCCTTCCTTCCTTCCTTCCTTCCTTCCTTCCTTCCTTCCTTCCTTCCTTCCTTCCTTCCTTCTTTCCCTCCACTCCCCTTCCCCTCCCTCTCTCCTCCCCTCCCCTCCCTTCCCTTTCCTTCCTTTCCCTTTCCTTTCCTCTCCTTTCCTTCTTGCCTTCTCTTTCCCTTCCTTATTCCCTTCTTCCTTTTTTGACAAAGTATTTCTCTGTCACCCAGGCTGAAATGCAGTGGTGCCATCATGGCTCACTGCAGCCTCAACCTCTCAAGCTCAAGTGATCCTCCCATCTCAGCCTCCTAAGCAGCTGGGGCTACAGGTGCACACCACCACAACTGGCTAATTCATTTTCATTTTTCATAGAGGTGGGGTCTCCCTGTGTTGCCCAGGCTGCTTTTGAACTCCTGGGCTGAAGTGATCTTCTAGTCTTGGCCCTGCAAAGTGCTGGAATTACCGGCATGAAGCATTCTTTTGATTAGTGTTAATATGGTATATCTTTCTCCATTCCTTTACTTTTAACCTATTTGTGTCTTTATATTT